GGGAAAAAAAATCTGATCGGAGACTTGATTGTTACCAAAATATGAGACACATACAAACAGGGCCACCCACACAGAGGACTGGCCTTTGATACATGGCAATCACTAGAATTCTTTCATAATGTCTCCTTAACTTTTCTGTAATAAAACTATCTGATCAGAAGTTATTCCATCCTTGTGTGCTTGTTTTATTAGTTCCAAGCTAACTTCAGAGGAGGGATTTTTGAGACTGTGTTAGTCAAATAACCCAAGATCAAACTATAGCTTCAGATCCTATTTTGACAACCCAGCTTCCCATTACAGTTGATCAATCCTAAACATATATATCAGTAACAATAAAAGCAGCAAAAAGCACTAGAACCAAGCCACACAAATTTCAACGGCCCATTTGCTTCAAACAAGAGCTTGAAGAATTACTCACACATACCTCTTCTGTAATCATGACCTTTGAAAATACCAGAGAGGCCACCAATTCTCACCCCTCGGTACCTGACGACTCCAGCATAACCTGTAGAGAGTAATAGAATAACCTTGACAAAGGGAAACATTACCTAGGTTAAAAGCAACCATTTAAAATCCAGAATGTCCAGATAACAATTGAACAGGTCTCATGAAGGCTCCTCCCTAATTCTCAAGGCTCAAAACATCTTAAAAAGTTGCACAGCAATTAAAATGGAGCATGTAAAAAAATAAAGATATAAAACGCTGGAGAGGAGAGGGGAACCTGCTTCAACATCCCGAAGCAAACTGCTGCAGTTAAAATAATGTGTTTTTATTTTTTATTTTAACAACATAGACAAACATAAACACAGAACATAAAACCATCTTTCCATTGTACAGTGTGTCGGTTGGTATATATCTCTTGGGCACAATATTAACAGTCTTTCTCTCCTAACCTTAGATTAAAATTCATATTATATAAATCAACTATCCATACTGTATTATATTGTTATCAAACCATTATTAGACTTTGATTATAAATTCATATCATTCTTTTCGAGCAAATCTCAACTTTTACAATGTCTAGTTCATAATATCATTCATTTCACCATCATCAAGTACTACATTTTATTAGTGTATCATCTTTACTATTATATTATATCTATATTATAATGTATCTTGTTTATTTTCTTATCTAGCCATTGATAATATAAATCCCAAATTTTATAGTATTCTTTCTTCTTGCTCTCTAATAGCAAATGTCAATCTACTCATTTCTGCACATTTCATTATTTTTTTTAAATGATGTGTTTTTATGATGTTCTGCAAGATGGGCAGCTGTATAAATATGATGGATAAATAAATAAAACACTGATGGAAGAACCGCATTGTCTCATCCATGTAGGGTTCCATTCCATCCCTTCTCCATTTCTACATCAAGCATTTGATACTATCAAGCCAGAAAGCAAAAAAGAACAATACCAAGATAATAGATGTTGGGGGCCACCCATCCACCATATGGTAACTCTTGCAAGTGGTTGGAGGCCTCGTGGTTGCCACCAATGAAGATAGTCAGGACAGGCGCTTTCTTCTCTCCAGAATAATATCTAGGAAAAGACAGTTGGAAGTTTGAGCTGTTAAAGATCCAGGTTTTTCTATTATGATATCCTCTACTTAGGGGAACTCACAGGATCACCATTAATTAAACCCTTTCCATTGGAACCGAAGGGAAGGGACTTGCCAAGAAGCTATGGTTAGTGGGCATAAAATTATAGCTGTGCTAGCCAAGTTCAGCAGCTCTGTGGGACCCCACTCTCGTAGAACAGAATAACAGGGTTGGAAGAGACCTTGTAGGTCTTCTAGTAGTCCAGCTAAGGCCACACTTGGAATACTGCATCCAATTTTGGTCGCCACGATTTAAAAAAGATGTTGAGACTCTAGAAAGAGTGCAGAGAAGATCAACAAAGATGATTAGGGGACTGGAGGCTACAACATATGAAGAACGGTTGCAGGAACTGGGTATGTCAAGTCTAATGAAAAGAAGGACTAGGGGAAACATGATAGCAGTCTTCCCCTATCTCAGGGGTTGCCCCAAAGAAGAGGGAATATTCTCCAAAGCACCTGAGGGAAGGACAAGAAGCTTTGGAGACTAGGGTTAGGATTAGGGTTAACTAGACACAAGGACAGTTCCCCCCCCCACCCCCGAAAGCCATCACTCTGCTAAACAAATAATTTCCTCAACACTGTTCAACTATTACAAAGTCTGCACTACTATTACTATTAATCTTCCCATCACTACTTATCACCCATCCCCTCGCACTTGTGACTGTATGACTGTAACTTTGTCGCTTGTATCCTAACGATCTATATTGACTGTTTCCTAGTATGATTTGATTGCTTATTGTACCCTATGACTATCATTCGGTGTTGTTCGTTATGATTTATATATTTATTCATTTATTTGATTTGTCAATCGCTTACAAGATAATAGGTATAAGTATAAACATGAGTATGAATACAGGAAATAGGTACAAATAAATGGGGACAATAAGACAGGGACGGTAGGCACGATGGTACACTTATCCACACCCCTTACAGACCTCTTAGGAATGGGGTGAAGTCAATAGTGGTTAGTTTGAGGTTAAAAGAGTGGGGGTTAGACGATGTAACAACAGAGTCAGGTAGTGTATTCCAGGCATTGACCACTCTGTTGCTTTCTGCAATCCAGTTTGAAGCGGTTTACATTGAGTTTGTATCTGTTGTGCGCTCTTGTATCGTTGTGCTTGAAGCTGAAGTAGTCATTGACTGGTAGGACATTGTAGCAGATAATTTTGTGTGCTACGCTTAAGTCTAACCATAGGCAGCGTAGTTCAAGGTTGTCCAAGCCCAAAATCTCAAGCCTGGTGATGTAGGGTATTCTGTTGCGAGCAGAGGAGTATAGTATTCTTCTCGTGAAATACTTCTGGATTTGCTCGATTGTATTAATGTCTGATATGCAGTGTGGATTCCAGACTGATGAGCTGTATTCGACTATTGGTCTGGCAAAAGTTTTGTATGCTCCAGTTAGCAATTCGATATTTTCAGAGGAGAAGCTTTGTAAGATTAGTTTTACAACTCTTAATGCCTTTTTGTCAATGCTGTTACAATGAGTACTCTAAGGTCCTTGACAGAGTGAGGGTCATCAACGAGGTCATAACCACCTAGCTTGTATTTGGTGTACTGATTTTTTTTTGCCTATGTGTAGTATAGAACGTTTGTTGGTCAAGATTTGGAGTTGCCAGATGATTTGACCATTCAGACACATAATCAAGGTCGCTTTGAAGGATAGTAGCATTGTCTTTTTATGATTATTGATTCTTGACCCTTGACGAATGTTTTTTTTTTTAATGTATCCTGAGAGCATTTGCACCCAGACAAATTCCTTGTGTGTCCAACCACACTTGGCCAATAAAGAATTCTATTCTATTCTAGGTGGACCCCCTCTTCCCTTGTGACAACCCCTTAGATATCGGAACACTGCTATCATGTCACCCCAAGTCCTTCTTTTCATTAAACTAGACGTGCCCCAATTCCTTCAACCGTTCTTCGTATGTTTAAACCTCCAGTCCCCTAAGCATCTTTGCTGCTCTTCTCTGCACACTTTCTAGAGTTTTCAAATCTTTTGTACATCGCGGCGACCCAAAACTCACAACGCTTCCCTCGGCTCTCCGCCTGCAACGGATCTCCCACCACCACCAATCAGCCCCGGTTCCCCCTCTCCCCATATTCCGGTCCCCCCCCCCCCCCCCCCCCCCCCCTGGCAAAGCCTCCCAACTGGCGGTACTTGGCCGGCACCGCCATGCAGCGCAGGTCGGCCGCGTTGCGCACGGCTTGGAAGTCCCCGGCGCAGAGCAGCAAATCCGGCCGGGCGTCGCCGTGGCGCTGCTCCAGCAGCTGCAGAGTCTCGTACAGTTTATCCAGCGCGCCATGACAGCAACCGGCCACCGCCACCTTCATCTTCCCGGACGAGGCATGCGCGCTTTCGTCGGCCGGGGCCTCTCCCACGCAGGCGCCCGCCTTCGCTTTCGGGACGCGGCCGGAACCAACCGCCGCTTCTTGGCCCTCTGCCCATGCGCCCGCGGAAATGGAGCCCGGGTCCCGCGGTTTGCTGCCTTGCCAAGCGGGCGCGGGGCTGTGTTGGAGCGGGAGGCGGTTTCTTTTTCTGTTTTTCCCTCTTTTCCCCCTCTTTCTGCTTTCCTTCCTTCCTGCCCCAGAGTTTTTTTTTTTTTTCCGGATTGGTTTCTCTGGAAAATGGCGTGGAAAGGAAAGATGCACGCGGGCAGCGCGCAGCGGAACGCCTTAAATTCGCTGCCGCCCTCCCGTTCCCTCCAACCCGTGGAAAATTCGCTTTTAAAAAGAAACGTAATAGCATTTTTAGGGCACCTTCCCTTTTTCCTAACGATACGTATTTTTTATACGTACAAGCTTGCTGTAGTGGTGAAGGTGCTGGCTTAGAAACTTGGGAGAGTAAATTCTAGTCCCAGTTTAGAAATGAAAGCTGGTTTAGGTGGTTTGGCTCTTCCCTCTCGCAGCCCAATCCACCCCACCTCACAGGGTTGTTGTGGGGAAAATAGGATGTACGTTTGTTGTCTTGAGTTACTGATAACTCGAGGAAAGATTAAACAATAAATACATAAATGGCCGCCATAGATGGGGTGAGCAGATCCATAGGCTGGTATCTCTGGTCTCCTGTTTGCAATTAAGCCCCTAAACCTGCCATTAGGGTGCCATGGGAAAGATGATGAAATTGGCAGAGAAGTGTGTAAAATTCAGAAAAGGGCATTGGCCTGATGTTGGGCACTTGCCATAGATGTGACAGATTGTCGGTGGGTAAAGCAGAACAAAAACATACCCAAAGGGTTGGCATTTCCCGACACCCTTGGAAATAAAAAACTTCCACTCTAGAATCTGAAGAAACACAAGTCACTCTTAAAGTCAGTTTTCCCTCCAGGTTGTTGATTGCACCATTAGCACGCCTCAACTGCCAAGTGTTCACTTCCCTCCCTCTTTTCTCACGAGGTCAGTTGCATAACCTGTAGGAAAATACCAGAATGGAGTTGCCCAAACCTATTATTGAACCCAAATTAGCTCTAAGCCACACCTTTCCAAGCAATGCAGATGAACGTGGAACAGGAGAACCATCTGACACTGCCTAGACACCGACAGTAGCAGTTGATACCCCGTGGGATCAACAAAGGTGCCGTGCATTCAACATCAAGCATCCGCTTTGAGTATGGAGTTGCTCCTGAGGCAGAAGTGGGAAATGCCGGATCTGCTTATACCTTGGCAAGGTCTCTAAACCGCTGGGAAATGGCCATATGCTTCCTCTTGATGATCTTCTTTATTTGGATGCCATTTTTCGCTTCAGGTAAGTGGTGATACCCCCAATTCAGGCAGGTCCTTAAAGCAAAGTGAAAACATGAAGTAAGATTTCTAGGAGTATGGATTTAGAGCCAAAGAAGGCAGAGTTCTTTTTGACTGGAGTTGCAAAAGTTCAACAGATCCTTTTGTAGCTCAGTTCGCTAGAAACCGGATATAAAGAACAGGCAATGTTGATGTAGCTTTCTTAATTAAATGTGGGGTTTTTTTCCAGCAACCGGATTTAGGGAAGAGGAAAATTGTTTTGTTGAGGCTCATTGTTTGTAATACGAAACTCTTTGGACAACATCAGTGTGTAAAACTGAATCTTTTAATATTTAGAAACATGTATTTCTAACACATCACTCAAGTAGAATTGACATTTGAATATTGGTTTTTTTAAAAAAAGAACAGAATAATCTGATAAATGGATAGAGTGATGAATTCGCACGGTATTAATTTCAAAAGGTTTATGCTAGGTATGTTTAAATCTAGATTACTTTGCCAACAGCTAAGAAAAAAAAACCATAAGACTTATCCTTCATGTATACTGTAGTGGTGACTGAGAACAATGTTTGCACTGTAATGTCATTTCCTATAATATCTGTTGTGGGAAAAAGTAAGATTCCTTAGAACGATGGGTCGATCGTAATTTTGAGACAGGAAACAGAGGATACAATGGGATTAGGGAAAATTATATTTCATTTTGTATACAGTGTTTGATGTTGGATTAAGTCTGGAAGTGTCAGCCCAAGGCTACCAGAGTTATTTTGGAGCTAGGTAGCCTCAGTTAATAAATAAACAATAAACAAGACTTTTTCTAAGTGTAATATCCAATTCCAGCCATATTATTATTCCAGTAAATGGGATAGGGAATATAGCTTGTTTTTGACCGATTTTATTTATTAAATAAATAAAATTCTGACTTAGAACCATTTGTTTAGCGACTCTTCAAAGTTACAAAAACCTTGAGAAAAATGACTTGCAACTAGTCCTTGCACTAATGACTATTGTGGCATCCCCATGGTCACATGATCAAAATTTGAGAGCTTGGCAACTGGCATGTATTTACAATGGTTGCAGCATCCATTATGGCCCCATTCCTGTGGAACCCTGTACCACTGGAGGTGAAAACTGCTTCCATCCTTTTGGTTTTCTGGAAGGGTATTAAAACTTGACATTGCTGGTTGACCTAGGACCCTGATGGGGGTGCTCACCACTGGAAGTGGTTGACAGGGTAAGAAAAACTTCCCTGTGCCAGCCAAATCCTAGTTTTGTACAGTTTTAAAATTTAAAATTTGTATATTTTAATTATTTTTCCCTTTGTCCTTTATAATCTCTAAGTCACCCAGAGTCACCTTATAGAGGAGGTGACTGATATAAAAATTAAACAAACAAACAAACAAATAAATAAATCTAACTCTAACCTACACAATTCATAGGAACTGCAGTGATTAATTTAACAATCATGGCAAAAAAAAGATTGTAAAATCAGGTGTGACTCACTTAGCAACCATTTTAGCAATGGAAATTCTAGTCCCAATTATGGTCATAAGTCGAGGATTACCCATAGACAATAAGACATTCTTGGCAATAAAAAGAATATTGACAATCAGAAACTGCAAATAGCATTGTGTTGCCCTTTTATGAACGGAAAAGTGTGCTTTCTCTGACAGCCATCTATTTCTTCCTAATTTCAAGATTGACTCAACCTTCCATCCTTCCGAGGTGGGTAAAATGAGGACCCAAATTGTTGGAGGCCATAGGCTGACTCTGTAAACTGCTTAGAGAGGGCTGTAAAGCACTGTAAAGCGGTATATAAGTCTAAGTGCCATTGCTAATACCAGTCTGAGTCTTAGACATACATGGCTATGGCTGAGAACAATTCGCTTCTGATATCATTCCAGCCCCATTATTCAGGCCAACTTGGTCAGTGACTTCTAGTCTCTGCTGCCCACAAATAGAGTGTTTCACCACAAATATGGAAGTGAGATCATTGCTGTTCCAGAGGCCAGGGGCAGTGACAGAGAAGCATGCTTTCCCAGTCAGACAAGATGACACTGTTTAATTGAGGAGACTTGAAGCATGTTCACTCTGCCCAAACATCCCAGGTGGGTATAAACTTGGAGATAGGTATTGCAGTCCCACAATTAACCATGGCTTATACCATGAAGGGCTTTATAGGTAACAACCAGGACCTTGAATTGCACCCACCCAGAAGCCAACTGGCCAACAATGCAGCTCGTGTAGCAATAATGACCAAAATGTGCCTATTGTTGTGCTTGCTGTTCCATTCATGAATCCACTGTAGCTTCTGGATGGTCTTCAAGGGCTGCCCCATGTAGAGTGCATTGCAGTAGTCCACTTTCAAGGTGACAGGCATGAAAACCATCTGAAGTTGAGGAGGAACATACAACATGAAACTGGGCTAAGATATGGCTTTTGAAGATTGATAGAAACTGGGCCCAGCCAGTGTTTAACTCTATGTAAGGTATATTCTTTTGCTTTTATTCTTCAGAGTTAGAATATTTCAGATTATTCATAGAGTTGCCAGCATCAGCACAGTTTATATTATCAACCCTAGATTGGGTTTGAATAAAGTAATTTCCTATGTCCTGGATAAGAACTGTAAATAAACAAATAAAGGGTTTGAATAGGGCAATTTCCTATATCCTGAATAAGAACAATAAAAATGGTTTCAATAAGGTAGTTTATTATGTCCTAGTTAAGCACCTTACATAAATAAAATAAAATAAATAAATTAAAAAAATGTGCACTCATAGATTCAGATATACAGACAGTTAGACTATGGGATTACCTACCCCAAATTATTGTCCTTGAGTTGTGTTGGGACTGAAATGTTCAGAGCTTGTGAATTAATCAATTGCTGTAGGGTAGCATCTGGAAACCAGAAATAACCATTTGGGTTATTTCTGCACCAGAGATCTGATTTGGTTATTCCCTCTTTCCAAAGAAAGTTGAGAGATGTAATTTATGAATTGGATGGCATATGTGAATATTTTGCAAATATGGTTCCTCTGTTTGTGAATATGCTTTCTTTTTTGGAGGGACCAGGGAGGGAATAGCTAAGTGGTCACCATTATGGAGAGCAGGGTAGGGATCTCCATTATCAAGATTGGCATATGTAGACTGCAACTATGTGCTCAGTCAATAGGTGGCAGCAAAGAGACCCTGAAACACTATAGTATTTCTTTTGGTGCTACCAAGTGGTAATGCAGATGTTGACAATTTAGATATGCTAGTGTTAGTCCTACAATAGAATCTTAGCAGTGATTAGCATAAATCACAAACACTAAGAATCTTTCTGGGACAAACTATGATACACATTTGCAACCCCATTCTAATTGATTAAGGCAAGATAAAGGATATAAACAATCTATAGTTGTTCTGTATTAACTATGGTTTAATACAATGTTTGAATATAGTTGTTGTTTTCAGAAGAATGCCCTCATACATTACAGAACTGCCATCTTAAGTGAATGCAAAAGAGATGCATCTCTAAAGACAAGAGCACATAAAATGTATGCTGGGAAAATATAAAATTCTCACAGCAGGAATACACCTTGAAGGAAAATATTTAAACTATGGACAAACACATATTTTTAAGTTTAAACAAAAATGAATTGACGCAGAGTCTTCCTCATTCTTAAGTAATGTACAGGATCTGATAAGACACTTTTTCTAACCTGCATCTTGTAAAACAAATACTAAATATCTGATAAAGCTCTTTTTTCTATCCTGTATCTTGTAAAACAAATACTAAACTGCATGCCATTTAATTCGAGTTCTATTAAAAGCACAATTTGGGGCATATCTCTTAAGCAAATTCCACTGAGCCCCTGGTCCTTAGTTTTAGCTAAATCAGCATTGTCTTTAAGCTTAACTAAGCTCTTCAGAGCAGTTAGTGACTGTTTTAAGATTATAATGGCACTGAAAAAAGCGACTTACGGCCATTTTTTATGCTTACGACCATTGTGGCATCCCGATGGTGATATGATCAAAATTCAGATGCTTGGCAACTGATCCATATTTATGACGGTTGCAATGTCCAAGGGTCATGTGATAATCTTTTGCAACCTTCTGATGAGCAGAGTTAATGAGGAAGGCAGATTCGCTTAAAAACCATGTGATTGACAACTGCAGTGATTCACTTAACAACTGTGGCAAGGAAAGTCGTAAAATAGGGCAAAATTCACTTAACCCTTTCATTTAGCAACATAATTTGGACTCAATTGTGATCATAAACCAAGGACTACCTATACACCTAGATCTGGTAATTGATCGTTCAGTAATAAAGGATTTGATAATAATCAAATCAGTGTCTCTAATCTGTGAGGTAATTTCTGTTTTTCTCTCTTTGTATGTCATTTTGATGATCCCCTACATAAAGCTGCGTTACTAACACCCCCTCAGAATATTACAATTCTGTCCACCAATATGAAGCACTTTCTCATTTGGAGCCCAGTTCCTGAGATTGCGCCTGGCGAGGTTGTAAAATACTCCGTCGAATTTCAAGGGTAAGTTCTTCTCCTCATCTTGAATACCGGTTGCCTAAAGACCACTCAGCATGACTGATAACTAAATATGTGCTCCTAGATATCTTCAACTTATACCAACCAGATACGTTGGACTAAGATACAACTGGTCATACCAGCTGCGAGTAGTAGAAGTTACAGTCCCACAAGTCGAGATTACAAGATGAAGGAAAGCTATATATTTTTTTGTTATACTCAATACAATACTTAGCTAATAATGAGGAGACACCACAGAGATTTATGAAGTTATGTATGCTATGAAGCAGTGGTCACCAACTGGTGGTCCGCGGGAAAATTTTGGTGGTCCACAGAGAAATATCACTCCCAAAGCAATTAATCCAGGCTGCGCAGGAACACAAGACTGCACCACCCACATGGCCCGCAGAAACACAAGGCTTGCATCGCTTGCATTGCAAACAACATGAGGTAGTGAAGGGAGGGGGGAAAGGGCGGGGTGGGGGGGAAACTTGCCCCACATGCCTCACCGGGCCACTGGGCTGCTTCTTTCCACTTCTTTCTTCTGCTTTTGGCTGCACTCAATTAAAGCATCAAAAGTCTTTCTTTCTCTCCCCCAAACTCCACCAGAAATGAATCTTTGGGACCCTGCAAGGCATCCTGCTCAAAGAGGCTGCGCCGGCAAAGACTCATTTCTGGTGGAGTTTGGGAGAGAGAAAGAAAGACTTCTGCTGCTTTCCTTGCATGAGGCCAAAAGTCTTTCCTTCTGAGAACAGAGCTGGAGACTGTATCCTGCAATCCCAAATAAAGAATGATCGATCAGTAAAAATTTTCCTGCTAACATTTTTGGGGATTTTCCCAGGGTCTCTACAGGAAGGGAAACTTAGCCCCTTTCTTTGTGGACAGTTACAGCACCCAAATGGTTTGGCAATCCCATTTTGCCTCTTGATCACATAATGCTGACTTTAATTTTGTCTTCTATCTATATATTTTTAAGAAGTCTTAGGCAGCAGTTTTTTATGTACCACTTTACTTTTCCATGGTTATTTAACTGACCATTGTTTGGGGGAACAAGATTGACTGGTTAAGCCTTTAATCTGATTCAGCAGGCCCTGTTATTACTCGAAAGGCTATCAGGGTGAGGTAATTTTTTTCCATTAGGGATTTCTGGTATAGGAAGGACAGGCAGCTAGGAAAGTGGAAAAATGTGTTAACACAACACCACAAAACACAGAAGTCGCACCCTCTGTCACCTCCACCCATGCGGTAAGATCAGAAAAGTCCACTGAGAGAAATTTGAAAGAAATTCTCAAGCACCCTGACAATTAGATAGAAAAATAGGAGCCTTTTTGACCAAGCTTCTTGGAAACTGCAAGGCAAATTTTAGATAAGATCCAAAGCATCTTGGTGTATGCATGGAGGATGGGTTTACTTGTTCCAAAAGTTGAGCTCCTTCAAAATTCCTCCTCATCAGGATACAAATGCAGGAATGTAAGATGGAAAAATCTCCCAAAACAGGAGACTGTATCACTTCAGACTACTAGAGAGTGATATCCTTTTTCCCCCACTTCTACTTCCTTTTAAACAATGAATGGAACAACTTGCCTCCAGAAGTTGTGAATGCTTCAACACTGGAAGCTTTTAAGAAGAGATTGGACAATCATTTGTCTGAAATGGTATAGGGTTTCCTGCCTAAGCAAGAGGTTGGACTTGAAGACCTCCAAGGTCCCTTCCAACTACTCTACTCCTACTCTACTCTACTCTACTCTACTCTACTCTACTCTACTCCCCTTAAGAAACCAAAGTGCAATTAAAAAAACATTGGGAGAAAGTTCTACAGAATAACAGAATTGAAAAGGACCTTGGAGGTCTTCTAGTCCAACCCCCTGCTCAAGCAGGAAACCCTATACCATTTCAGACAGATAGTTGTCCAATCTCTTCTTAAAAGCTTCCAGTGATGGTGCGCCTCCATCTTCCCACAAATCGTGTCACTGATTAATCGTTCTCACTGTCAGGAAATTTCTCCTTGGTTTTAGGTTGCTTCTCCCCTTGGTTAGCTTCCGTCCATATTGGGAGAAACTTCTAAACCAGGTCCCCGTCTACTAATCTTGTTTTCTACCCCCAAGTAATTTAAGAATAGCGTTTCAAATGTTTTATCTGCTGTTTGGAGTGATGAAATCTCTTTTCCCGCCTTAAAACTTTGCCATGGCATTCTGTTGCATGTATAGGCAAGCTAGACACGCAATAGTATTGCAAGAAATTAACACATGCATGGTTGGACTAGTATCCCTGCCAGGTTTACATGCCTTTGGGCTTCACCACATTGTAATGCAGATGTGCGGTTGTAGGTCGGGGTGGAAGAAATGCTTTCATTCAGAAAGGAGATTCAACTACAGTCTTTACATTCTCCTTTCTCTGTGACATGAACAAGCACAGCAACCATGGGACAGGTGGAAGCCACAGGTAGATCATCATCTCCAGGAGGTCCTTTGGGCCATCCACAGCAATGTGCTTTCTTCTCATTCTTGAAGGCATCTTGTGGTGTCCTCAACAGTAAACAGCCCTTCTTTGCTCCAGGGCAAGGAGGGTGGGTGGATGAGATTTTTGTCAACAACATCTTTAGGGCAAAATGAATGCTCTTTGAATCGAACATCTCAGGCATCTGAGCTCTTCATGGCATGGGTCCAGATTACTTGAGGCATTGTTTCATCCCTTTGGATTGGCCCATCCCACCTGTGCTGGCAGAGGAGGCATGCCGTGGGCCCCATTGGCCACAGTATTCTAGCTGGCAGGGAACACCGTTACACCTTCTCCTTGGAACATCTCCCCTCCCACCTCAGGTGAGCTGCAACCCTCCTGGCCTTCCATAAGAGCCTAAAGATCTGGCTGTGCCAATTAGCTTGGGGCTCCAATGGAAAAGTTTCACATTGGAGGTATTCGGTAGATGATTAATGGATCCCACCTCCCGTCCTCCTCCTCCTATTTGTCCCTCCCTGTCTTTTAATTTGGGATCTTTACAGTATTTTAGTTATGTCTCTCAGGCGTTGTATAGTTTTTATCTTTTTAAGATTTTGCCCAGAGTTACTCAGTGGTAAGATGGGTAGCCAGTAAATTTTATTTTATAAATAAATAAATAAATAAATTGCAGCCAAAAAAGTAGGAAAATACATTGAAGGAGAGAAGGAAGAGGGTGAGAAACAAGTATAGAAAAAGAGGCAAATGTAGAAAGACTGGTACGAACATACATTGTTATATATAAATACACATTATGCTAAAATGCTATTTCATTTATCTATACCCCGCTGTTAATTTTTACAAGTAACTGAGAGCGGTGAACATATCCGACATACCTTCCTATTTTTCCTACAACAATAACCCTGCGAGGTGAGTTGGCTAAGAGTGACTGGCCCAAAGTCACTCATCTGGCTTCATGGCTAAGGCCTAGAACTCACAGTCTCCCACTTTCTCACCTGGTACCTTAACCACAAGACTAAGCTGACTCTGTATACAATTTAACATTAGCTTAGTGTGTGAGAATCTGGCTTTTGAAAATTATAAATCATGATCTATGACTTAGAACGCAGGTAGACTTGAGTACATCTATGAATTAAACTTTGGGCATTTCTATAAAACAATTAACAACAGAAATAATAATAAAATAACTTTTAGCTGAAGGGTACAAACCCTGTGGTCTTCCAGTTGTAGTAAAATGATTGCTTCCGATAGCTCTAGGCAGCATTAACCTAACAGTGAGAAATTTGGAATAGTAATTCAGCTAAATTTATTCATTTGTTAAAATTATACACTGCCTGACTCAACAACTATGGGTGGTTCACAAGTAAAAACATATTTTAAAAAACTAACCTCTGGAGAGCCATGCCTTCCTTTTTCTTCCATTAGATCCACCAACGGGAGCCAGTTATAAGAGAGAGGCTGAAAGCTCTTTCCCAGGGGTGTCAAACTCAATTTCATTGAGAGCTGCATTAGGGTTGTGTTTTACTTCTGGGGAGAGGGGGGGCGGGAGGGGGCATGGCCAGGGTGGGTGTGGTCAGCTTGACATCACTCATGGTGGTCAAGTGCTAAGATAGGACTTCCCTCAGACCCTCCCTCACTCTCATTATAATCTATCTTCCTTCCTTCCTTCCTTCCTTCCTTCCTTCCTTCCTTCCTTCCTTCTTCCTTCCTTTTCTTTTTCCTTCCCTTCATTCTCCTTTCTTCTTCCTTCCCCTCATTCCTTATTTCTTCTTCCTTCCTCCCTTCCCATCTTTTCTTCTTTTTCTTTTCTCTTTCCCTTTCCTGTCCCTTCTTGCATGCTCAAATACAAAAGGAAAAACATTTCTCCTCTTATTTTGTTTGTAGTTTGTTTTGTAGTTTGAGGGCTGCTCTCCCGAACTCCATTTTTGCTGGCAGAGGCACCACAGCCCGGTCCTTTGCTGTTTCCAGGGTACCCCCACGGGCCAGATCTAAGCACCTCGTGGGCCGGATCTGGCCTGCGGGCCTTGAGTTTGACACCCCTGCTCTATCCTTAGGCTCAGGAAACGAGTTACTTCCAGCGTACTCTGAGCCATCTTTGTCTAATAGGGGTTAGATATTCTAAGGGCCTAAAGATTGCTGAAAGGTTAATGATTTGGAATCAGATCTCATTGGTTGGCTGCAGATGAGCTACTCATTATTTGATCTGTCCAGTTTTTGAACTTATGTACACACGTCTAGGGATACCTAACCTCAGAGCTGCAATTGAAGTTACAACTAGGAAATCCTGTTGCTTATAAGCTAGTCCTTGCTATTTTATTTATTATATTTGTATGTCATTGAATCAAATGACTGGGGTTATTATTATTTTTTTGAGGTAATGTAAGGAAGGTCCGATGTTCTCTGTATAGAAGCTGACATTGTTTTTTTTCCCCCCTAACTATATCTAGGGAATATGAGAGAGACTATGCCAACGACAGCTGGATCCCCATTGCAGAATGCACAGGTGTTAGCGTTACTCAGTGTGATATCACAGAAGACATATCAGCTACCGTGCCATATAATCTGCGTGTTAGAGCATCTACAGGGACACAGGCCTCTCTCTGGGCCACACTCAACGGCTTCTTCAATCGTGTCACAAGTAAGTCCTTCAGTCTGCGTCCCATTAGAAAACCTCACAACCCACAGCACCTGCCTGAATGAGCCCAGTCTTGAACCGTGTTTTGTTGATATCAGGCCTAGCAACCATTTAAAGCAGCTGCATTGGGTGGGGCAGGATTTGGTGACAGCTTTTCTGACTGGAAATGAGGCCTTGTACTGAGGTGGTGATTCAGCCTGCCTCAGTGGGAAGTAAGCTTTTTAAGCCACCATTCACATTCGGATTCGGGAGAGTGCTTGGGAGCAATAAATCAGGAAAGTTAAGTCAGCATAAACAGAGTAAGGGCTCTATTTAAAGAAAAAGCAGCTGAAACAATGCATCTTAAGAGTCCATTTTCTCAATGGAAAGAGCAAAGGACTAATATTGACCATATGGGAAGGAATTCCACAAGTCTTGTGGGCCACAGGAGTTGCTCCATCCGTTTAGCATAAAGTACCATTGCAGTTATCTTGTCTAGTTACAACCAGAGCACAAGTAACAGATTATTTATTACTACAGAAGGCACCTGGGGGCAAATACGACATTCAAACAACCCAGGAAGCATTTCAAGTCCAAGCAAGATTGCTGGCTTTAATGATAGAACTCAGCTTCTTCCCCACTTTAGCCCTAAGGGTTTTCTAAACAAAAAAAAAAAATCAGGAATAGGTCAGGAGAAATAGAGAATACACAAAACATGCTTGTGTCAGGAATATAATTAGGGGATCTTGCTTTTAAAAAATTCAGCATGCTCTGATTAAATTGGGAGGTGTCCACTGATGAAGGGCTGGGCTTACTCCTGATAAATTCTTGTCTTTGACTTCCTTCGTCCCTCCCTCCCTCCCTCCTTTTTTAAGACAGAGGATGATGACTTTTGGGGTGGGGTCATACATGCTTTGTTTCCAGCACTTGCCCGTACGCATGTCCGTCTTCTTATCCAGTTGTCACAGCTGCAGCCCATGAAGAGGATCAAGGCCCTCTCCCCGCCCCCCAGTAGACCATGTTTCTGCCTTATCCTCTCCTCCCTGCATGCCCTAGGATGGAGAGGGGGTGGGCCTGGGTCCTCCTCTGACTGCCCAGCCGGCCTCTGCCCTTCCCCAGCCTCCTCCACAACCTCCGGAGCCACACCTCCACTGCCTGTTCCTCCTCTCCCTCAGAGTCAGCCTCCACCAGGGGCATGACACTCAGGTCCACGTGGTGGCAAAATCACACCTCCCTTGAAGGAAACAGTGGCGATGCAGCCCTTCCTCAAGAATCCATTCTTGGACCCAACAATTATGAGTGATTTTTCTCCTGCCTCCAACCTTCCTCTTTTCCACCTACTGAATATGTGAATCCACTTTCTTTCTTTTTTTTAATAGCATCCCTTATTCCACCAATGCTGACCGTCACCACTGATGGATATCACTTGCTAGCAGAATTAGAACACCTGGGGCCTGCCTTTGAATTCTGGATATTTTACTGGAAGAAGGGCCCAGAACCTACAGTAAGTTCTGATCTTGCTTCTGATTTGGATGAGCTGAAAGGCAGGAACATTTCTTTACTGGCCAAGGTTGAATCATCAAGCCATCCTGAGCTTTGACTGAAACTCTGAATGCTGCTAGGAGCATAGCCCCGCCATGACTCATCTGCTTTGCTTTGAGATTTCTTGTCATATACTGTTGCCTGTAGAAGCAAAGGATCATTTTGGTTCCTGCATATGGCAATTCAGCTGTCTTGTTTGGAAATACGAGCATGTTCACCTATTGCCAGCCTTCTCAGGTAGACCAGACAGGAAAAACAACCAGTTGAAGTAATTCAATTTCATTGTAAGGCTACAGTGAACAGAAGCTTGAAAGTTCGAATTTCTCACCATCTCCTTTACAGAATTGGGGGTGAAGGAAATCCCTTTTGAGTTTCTTTCTCTGCCCATAATATGGTAGGTAGTCCTCAACTTATGACAGGTCATTTAGGGACTGCTTAAACTTACAACAGGACTGAAAAAAATGACCATTTTTCATGTGTATGACCGTTGCAGCATTCCCATGGTCATGTGATCAAAATTCAGATGCTTGGCAATTGGTTTATATTTATGATATATATTATGATGGTTGCAGTGTCCTGGGATCACGTGATCATCTTTTGCGACTTTCTGACAAGCAAAGTCAATGAGGAAAGCCAGGTTCACTTAACAATCATGTTACTGATTTAACAAGTGCAATGATTCACTTAACAAATGTGGTAAGAAATGTCGTAAAATGGGGCAAAACTCACTTAACAAATGTCTCAGCAACATAAATTTTGGACTCAATTGCAGTCGTAAGTCAAGGACTACTGCCTATATGCAACTGCAAGTTATGTCCTCTCTTATTTAACCATTCCCTAGACTGGATCTCACTCCTGATCCTCGTCTCCCAAGGTTATTCTCCCATATCATTACGCCTATCTGCAACCATTATCAAAACTTGCTTTTGAATCCCACTGCCATTATAGAGCCGTGGTGGCGCAGTGGTGGGAATGCAGTATTGCAGGCTAAATCTGCTGACCGTCGGCAGTTTGATCCTTACCAGCTCAAGGTTGATTCAGCCTTCCATCCTTCTGAGATGGGTAAAAATGAGGACCCAGTTTATTGGGGGCAATATGGCGACTCTGTAAACTGTTTAGACAGGGCTTTAAAAACACTATGAAACGGTATACAAGTCTAAGTGCTCTTGCTATTGTTTTTTCTCATTTATTGTATGTGGGAATAAAAATAATAATAAGCAAACCCACATTGACAGTCAACCATGGTTTTCCCAGTTGGAACATATGGCTCTGAAAGCTTGATCATCAAAAAGGCTGAAGAAAAATGTACACCTTTGAATTTGGGACTGAAGAAAATTGTTACGAGTATCTTAGAATTGTGAGAAGAACGAATAATTAAACATCAGATAAAGTGAAACCATGCAGCTCCTGGAAAGCATTAAGAAGGAAATTGACTATAAAATATTTGGGATGTAAGATGCAAAGGCAAGAATCATTAGAGAAGAGGTTGATGTTTGGAAAAAATCAAAGGCAATAACAAAAAGACAATAGAAAACTAGATAACAGCACCGGTGACACAAGTAGGAGATTAGAGAAACTCTGAGAAGCAGGCACAGATAAACCATCCTGGCAAACTGACATCCTTCAGGTCACAAAGAGTTAGAAACCACTGAACCATTAAAGAAAAACAAACATGCATAAATACAAGTACACTACTTATATATAATAGGAGTTGTTATGAGTTGAAATGCAAGAAAAGGCTTTTTTACTGTACTCACTGAGCCCCAAGTCACCTGGCTGCCTGGTCAAAAAAGCCTCTCATGCATAGTTTTCTTCTCATTGGGGCCAGGTGACCATGGTGGGATTCAAAAATTTTTTACTACTGGTTCTGTGGGCATGGCATGGCTTGTGGGCATGGCTTGGTGGGCATGGCAGGGGAAGAATACTGCAAAATCCCCATTCCCTCTCCACCCTACTAACCTGATTTCCAACTCTGTTCTCCTGTGCAGGGCAACCAAAGAAGACCCAGACAATCAGCTGGGACTCGGGAGGCAGAGAATAGATGGGACGGGGCCAGTCAGAGCTGGTATTTGCTGGTTCTCCAAACTACTCAAAATTTCCGCTATCGGTTTTCCAGAACTGGTCAGAACCTGCTGAATACCTCCTCTGCAAATGACCATATTTGCCATGAAGTTCTCAGGAGAGAGTCCAGTTATGCTTTTAATGTCTCACAATGCCCCAAAGAATCCGAGCTCTAGAGAATTTTAAGAGATTTGGAGAGAAACTAGAACCAGCTACTTGGTGCTGCTTGTAATGTTGGATCAGAAAAGAAATGGTTTGATGTGCGGGAGGGCCGATCAAAATTAGAGGCAGGGGTACTTACCAAACACCCAAGTTGTGGACTAATTTAGGAAACCCAGTTGGATCCCTTCTTTATTGGTATTTTAGTGTGGTGCTAAAACATTCTTTGATAGGCCGCATTTTTGATGCACGCTTTAGGCTTGTTCTTATTGTGTTTTTCTCTGTCGCTCCTTTGTGAGGCTTGGGTTTTCCTCTTCACCCGTTCTTTCTTTTAACTGTTTTACTGATTGCAAATTGCAAATCAATAAAGCAGTATATTGCAGTACGGAATGATTTAACTTCCCGGAGCTGCTTAAATGGCTGTCAGACCCAAGAGACATGTAACAGTTGGATATCCTGAATTTGCCTACAAACACTCCTGTGTGTACTTTCCTCACTTTTTGTTACTGTTCTAAACTTCGACATTGAATCTCATACTCAAAATACAAACAGTCCTTGACTTACGATCACAACTGAGCCCAAAATTTCTGTGGCTAAGTAAGACATTTGTTAAGTGAGTTTTGCCCCGTTTCAGACCTTTCTAGCTACCATTGTTAAGCGAATCACTGCAGTTGCTAAATCAGTAATATAGTTGTTAAGTGATTCTGGCTTCCCTGTTGACTTTTCTAGACAGAAGGTTGCAAAAAGTGATCACAAGACTCTGGGACACTGCAACCACCCCAAAGATAAGCCAGTTGCCAAACATCCTAATTCTGATCACGTGACCATGGGGATGCTGCAGCGGTCATAAGTGTGGAAAACTTACGATAGAAATCACTTTTATCAATGCCGTTGTAAGTTGGAACAGTCACTGAATGCATGGTTGAATTTGAGGGCCACTTGTGTATAACCACATTTCAACGTGTAAAACCCCCAAATTCATAACCGTTTGCTTTTCCTTTAGATTTTGGAGGCATCCTACAAATGAACAGTGCAATTTTTTTTCTTCTTTAGCCACAGGGGTCCGGGGAAGGGTAAACCAATCTAGTGAAGCAGATTATTTCACCTAACATGTGGAAATTCAGCCTTGTATTTGTTTTTCATTCCGTGTTTTACACACCTAGGTTTACCACAAAGTGGTGAGAGAAAGCACCACCACTGTGCATCTGAAAACCATGGAGGCTGGAGCTGAATATTGTGTTAAAGCTCAGACCTTTGTGGAAGCGATCAACAGGAGCAGCAATTTCAGCGAGGTGCAGTGCGTGAAATCAGAAGGTGAGAACAAGGGGGATAAAAGGCAGGGGTGGGATTCAAATTTTTAACAACCGGTTCTATGGGCGCGGCTTAGGTGGTGAGCATGGCTTGGTGGTCATGTGACTGAGTGGACATGGCTTGGTGGTCATGTTATTGGCTGGGTGTGGCCAACTCAATATCACTCACATCAAGGCACACATCTCCTCGCCTGGCCTCTCATGACAGTGGGGATGCTGCAACAGTCGTAAGTGTGAAAAATGGTCATAAGTCACTTTTTTCAGTGCCATTGTAACTTTAAATGGTCACTCCATACAAGCAAAGTACCAGCAAATGAGGGGGAAAAACTCCAGAGAAGTTCCTGAGACAGGAAGTCTAGTCCTGCCAAGAATATAATAAGGGTTAACGGAGAGGCAGTTTCTGTAAGCAACACCAGAATGTTTCCTTCCTGCCTTCCTTACAGGATTAGGCCAGTAATTTCTTCTAACAACCGGTTCTCCGAACTGCTTAGAATGTTAACAACTGGTTCTAGCGAATAGGTGCGAACCTGTAGAATCCCACCCCTGATAAAAGGGGCTTACAGATTTTGCGAAGCTGGACGGACTCTCCAGAGCAGGGTTTCTCAATCTTGGCAACGTTAAGATGTCTGCTAGGGAATTCTGGGAGTTGAAGTCCACACTTCTTAACGTTGCCAAGATTAAGAACGCTGCTCCAGAAGAAGCAAAGCCAAAAGATCTAAACTATTGAGGGAGGACTGGAAGGGAGGGGGATTTAAACGATAAAATTATTATTGTAGTATTAAGCCTCATAAGGCCTTAAAGAGTCCATGGCACCCCATAAAGCCCCATCTTGCTCCCTAAGTTGTGCCCTCTTTCCCCGTTTTGAGGGATCTATGAGGCAAAATGTGACTACCTCTCTTAATTACCTCCAAATAACTTTCTCAAGGGAAAAAAGACAAAACATGTTGCAGTCACCCTTTCAAACATGGTTGCTCTTCAGCTACCTGGTCCCCCTGAGAAAGCACAAAAACAAATGGAAGACCCTTAGGCCAGGTGTTTCAAATTAGTGGCCTACCGGCCAGATGCGTCACATGCAGGCCACGCCCACCCCAGCTCCGCGAAGAGGAAGAACGTCGCGAAACATCACATGACAGCAACATGATGCCGCAGGTTTGACCCCCATGGTTGGGTTTTCATAGCCAGTTATAAAAGGGAAAGGGGTTATAGAGTCTTTCAAATCTATATATATAAAAGTGAAAAAGCACTCATGCGTCATCACAAAATCTCCAGAACTGTAAAGTCTGCAAACTTGAAATTTGGCGTGTATGTTCCTCTTGGCTTCTAGGTGCTCACTAAGAAAGGGTTTTTTGAAATGTCCACCAGAGCTTTAGTATTTCGTATATTGTTATTAACACGCTCTGATGCTAAGGAATTCTATTCCCCCTCCCCACCTGAAAAGAAATCTGTTCCAAATGCAAAACACAAGCAGAGGAGTTTTAGTTTCAGAGCACCAAGCAGCTTTAGTACAGAACAGTTGAGCTAAGCTACACCCAGGCTCCTTGCTGTCTCCTTGCTCACACAGCAAATGCTGTTTCAATTTCCATGTTTCAGTTTCCAAACAGCCCTCAACTCTCACACACTGACAGGATGAGTACCGATGGATGCTGGTTGGCAGAGGCACAATTCCCTCCCCACTTTATTTTCGTCGCCAAGAACTAAGCCCGACCACATAGTTTCATAGCGAAGCACGGTATAGAGCTAGCTAAAGTATAAGGATCATAGACATGAAAATGGCTTTCATGATTATCTTGTCCTACTTTTTCAAGTTAGGATATTCACAAGAGAGCATCTCAACAAACAGTTGTCCCTCTTTGCCTGAAGACCTCTATAATAACCCTGCTAATCCAGTGACTGGTTTTGTTATTTCTTGTGTGACTTAAAGTTTTCTCTCTGAGGCTCTCCAGGCTATTTCTCAGTGAATAGAAATTCCTTATTGGATAACTTGATCTGGGAAAGGTTTGCTATTAATACATGTCCAAGAGATATCTGCAGAAGGAACTTGCTCAGGTGAAAAGCAATTTGGAGAATGCTTAAAAGCTACTGAGAACACCGATTGCAGAATGCACCTATTCCGTTTGTTTATTTATATTAAATTGTTATGCTGCCCACCTGTGCTTCTGAAAATTGTCAGTGCAAAGCCTTCACTGAGATATTTGTGTTTTTTTTCCTGCCTCCAGATGCCAAAGTCATACTGTTGACCTTTGCCCCGCTCTTCCTGGTTATTTTTTTTGTGGCTGTTTTGGTCCTTCCTTTTCTTGCTTGGAAAACCTGTCGGATCTGCCAGTATTCCTTCTGCCCAGATGAGGTCCTTCCAGATACATTGGTAAGAAGCTCTGTGCGGTGTTTCATTTGTGCTTCTGAACTCATCCACCTGGAGTCCACGCACCTTGCCGTTATTCTTTAGGGACACGTCTTCAAGACTCGGCTTTCCTTCTGCTTCCCAGCAAAAAGTAGGGACGGTTCCACTTCGTATTTCCCCCATTCAATGTTGAAATGTAGTCATCCATGTCCCAACACAAACCTTGCTACACTGCATGCATGATCGGCAGCAGTTTAGCCCCAACCGGTTGATGGAATATGACCAGTTCCTATTTCTTGCTTTTGGCTTCTGTGATTTGGATACACCCTCCCTCCCCCACCCTCTCTGTCTTCCCCCTCTCTCTTCTAATCCCATTTGGCACCTTCTCTCAATATCTATTTTAACTTGAGCGGCAGGTATGATCGGGAACCAATGTTGGAAGAGGTAATCTATGAATCATTAATGGGTTGAGTGGGAACAGCATTGCTCGATCTGTGTAGTGAGTGCGGGGTTTTCCCAGGAAAGCAGGAAAAACCCCACCCCCATCAATTAAGTTCTGAGCCCCGCCTCACCCCTCATTAGGAAGAGCAATGATTGAGATCTCTTCTGCAAGCAGGGATTCCACCAATTATTTCCATCAACTTATCTCCACATTAAAATTGTCAGGATGACATTAGATTACTGCCTTCGTAAGTAGGTGTAATAGAAATCAGCTGGCAAGAAAGGGCAAATTATGTCATCTCCCAGACTGAAAGAAGAGTTGTTAAACCGGCTATCTAGATGTGTACTTCATCTATATATATAAAAATAAAATACCACTCACGCATCATCACAAAATCTCCAGAACCGTAAAGCCTACAAAAGCTTGCAACCTGGTTTGGTCAACAAAGGATTTAGATTGGTGTAAGCTGGGTGGGTACATTAACAGAGCATTTGATGCTAGGCATCAGAAGATAAGTTACAGAAATTTAGAATGCAAAATATGCAAAATAACAAGACACTTGGGACAGACAGAACATGTATAGTTTTATATTTATTTAGTTTTGCCCAAGTTGGCTTTCTCCAAATCCTTTGGGCAAAGATTTACAGAATTCTCAGCTTCTGAGCTAACAATTCTGGAAAACATAATGTGATATATCTTAAGGACAGCATTTTGGGGAAAGTGTGCTATGGTTCTTGTCCAGGCTGTTGATGCTCAGAGGTTGCACTGTATTTATATCAGAATATTAGGACATCGTCTTCTCTGTGGGTGAATTGATTTCTGCAGTAAGAAAGGATATTTCTAGGTATTCTGCTCCACTTAGCTTACCTTTTCTCTTCTAGAAGCTAACAGCATCACCTGCTAAGATACTAAAGGAGAGGGGAGAAGAGATGGAGAAATGTGATGAATCAGTGCAAGTATTGCCTTCCGAAGACGTTTTGCTTCATTTTTGGATCCATGAAACTCTTTAATATCACCCTGAAGACACTAATTGCAAACTGAGATTAACAGTCTTGCTCTCCTTCTTGACCCCTCTTCAGGCACACACAAGGTTTCTACCGAGAAGGACAAATTGCACAAAGATGGGAACCAAAATAGATATCGGTATCAGGGAGAGATTCCAGCAACCTTACTTGACAGAGAAGTGTAGACTGGTTGTGGGTTGCAAACAGACCATCTTTACAGCCACTTACTGAATTACTGTCTATTTAATTGAGATGTAAGGATCTTGAGCCAATCCAATATTGGAATAATATTGGAAAGAGGTACAAGTCCAAGTCAGTTTTCCAATTCATGCTTGCAAGCCAGGAGGAATAGAGGAAAATACCGGGAGGTATTCTGTCTTAATAGTACAGTATACTCTCTAAGAAAGCAAGTTGCATGAAATGGATCTTTTTTCAGATTATTTATTACAATTCTTGTGGGCTTTAGCCACAGGCTCTCAAGTATTCAGAAAGCAATGGAGCTCTAAATGCTACTATCTTTCCACTGTTACAGAAAGGTAGTCAGTGAGAGCCCTACACTCAGAAATTTGGGTTGAGATTTAGTGGATCATTCAATCAATTGTTCAAAGAAAGGATCAATCAATCATTCCTAGGCATTATGACCTATTCTGACCATTCATTGTGGTATAATTCCACATAGGACTGCAAATCAGCTCATCTAGATAAGGTTCTGATTTTTATGTGAGTTTTAGAATCAAATACAGAACTCATTAACTCATAGCCGGCTTGCTGGCTGTATTTTGGAGTATTTTTTTTTCTTTTTGAGGTTCCTAGATAGGTATATATATTTCCAACTGCCAAATCTGAGCAAAAACATGGCTGTTTTCCACAAACTGGAATACTTACTGCAGAACTGGAATTCAATGTTTGGAAGCTTTCTATTCCTGGGTGAGATTTTAAATGAAAAAACCTTTTTCTTTGCTTGTGTTTTTTAACATGCAAGCACTGAAATGCTTAAATGCGTATTTAAAATACTGAGTTGAGCTTTTATTTACTTTATGGCTATACATGTGAATTTTAAGTTCAGTTCACAGACTTGGAGGTTTAAGACGGGTGTAAACCTTTGTATATTTCTTATATCAGCCATACAACAGCTAGATATCTTGCTGTGTATCTGTGTTTACAGCCTGGTCACTCCTAAGATTTGCTATGGCTGAAAACAAATGTATGGGTAATTTTGCATCAGATAATGCAAAATTATGACTATGGGGCTGGAAGGGGAACCAAGCTCTGGCAAATTCACATAAGTTGAGTGGCTTGATTCACATTTCACACTAAGCCATAATGTGATTTGTTTAGTTTTCAGTTTATTGCATTGTGAAAATCCAGGTGTTTTGACTTACAGGTAGCTTATGCCTTGCCATGAGGTGAACTTATGCATAATATTCAACAACTCTAGCAAAACAAGATTATATAGTGATATCCAAGATCCTGTTAGACTTGCTAAATGTTTCTCTTGTGTCTGCCTGTACCTTTAACAAGTGCACAAAAGGCAGAATCTTAACCAGCCCAGCATTTCATGCCACCGATTCTGCAGGCAGGGAAAAACTGCACCAGGAAAATCTTGGTCTGTCATGCAGCTATTAAACAACAGTCTTCATGTATTTTTTAAAAGAAGGGGAACCTGTTACAACAGTTTCAAGGAAGGGGGAAAGTTAGAAATTTTACCTGATCTTCCCTCCCCCATCAATCAGATTTTTCTTTCAACCTTACGGCAGTATGTCTGTCATTAAGAAAATGAAAATGTTAGAATTGCTATGAACATTGCTGCCTGGTTCAATAGCAATGGTTTGCGATAATAGAACAGAATCAGAATATATGATTTATGATTCATGATTTGAAAGTTAGACCTGATTTAAATATATACAAAATAATCCATAAGTAAGCATTTGTTATTTACAATGGCAACTTGTAGTAATGGTAACATAAATTTGACTGAATTGTGCCTTCTTTATGCTGTAATTCCTTATAATTCAGTATATGTTCATTCAGGCAAAAAGAATACATATAGTCCTCAGCTTATAACCAGTTGGAACTTCTGTCACTAAACAAGGCAGTAGTTAAGCAAGCTGCATTCAAGTTTGCCTTTTTTGATGCAGTCATTAATGGGAAAATTTGACTTCCCCCATTGACGTTGCTTGTTGGAAGTAGCTAGGAAGGTCATAAATGGCAATAATTGTTCCAGGATGCTACAGTTATCATAAATACATCAATACAAATGCCCAAATTTTGATCATGTAACCACAGGTATGGTGCAATGGTTGTAAGTGTGCAGACTTTTTAGTGCTGCTGTAGCTTCAAATGGTAATTAAACAAATGGTCATAAGTTGAGGACTACTTATAGAATGTTGGCTTTAATTCCATTATCAGGAAGAGTCTTGCTGAATTAAATAAAATGCATTAAGAACGTATACAAAAACTGAAGTGGCATTGTCACACCTTTACATGTCTGAAATCAAATAAGCTTCAGTATCTCAATACTTTTCTGTTAAATGCTTCAACTGCTAATAATCAAAAATACTTTATGGAAAATCTTTGATTCAGTAGTTAAAATTCTTCCTAATATTTTTTTTCCCTTCCTGGTGTGAACAAAAATAATTCGGTGAAGCTCACTAAGGTGAATCTCTAATTATGTTACATGTGTAGACCTCAAACATGTACAATTCACATCCAAAACTGCAGAAATACAGATATATTCAAAGGAGAGCTAGAGGCAGGAATGAAGCTACATGTGTTTATTCAGTAATGAAGCAAAGGCATTTTGCTCAGAGATAAAATGTTTCAGACATAATATTGAATTGATAGTCTCTTCATCTTTATCCCATTATAAATATTAAAGATTATTTCTTAGGTAACCATGCAAATATTTTGTAGCCAAGAATTACCTTTTTAAGAACAATAAATATTGTATTAAACTTGCTGGTACATACTTCTAAGTAAATACCCAGATTACATGTAGGACATTTTTATTTGCGAAAAGTGTTTCTGCCTGAATTGAGATGCCAGATACACTCTGTACAGCTCCCTTTAAAGCAAAAGATTATTGCAAACTGCATTTGACAATCTCCATTCATTCCGTGCTACGGAAAGAAGCATCCATCTCTAAAAGCAAAGCCTGCGCTAACATAGAGAACTATTTTCTTTTTGCTTCGGAACATCTCCCCACCCCACCCCCAGAAAATCTTACACAAATTCTTGATTTCAAGATCCGAAACGGTCGACCAAAATTTTACGGAATCAGGTGACAATCCTAATGGTGACCTCACGTGCCTGGAAAAGGCTATAAATTATATTTTCTTTTGGTTCTCTCTCTCTCTGCATTTCAAGGGACAGGAGAAGGATAAATTTTCCTAGCCAGCGCTGGGTTTCATGCGCCAGGACTTAAAAAGGTCGCCATTTGCTATTCCTCCTCCCGCAATAAAACGCCTTTAGCGGCATCTCAAGTAGATCCGCGAGGATCAGTAAATCCTCTCCTAATCCAGCCTCCGCTGAGGTGGGGCTGGGGGGTTGGGGGGGGACAAGGAAAAAAAGAAACCGTTTTGAACGTGAAAGGAACGAAGCGACGGAAACCGGGAGCGCTTCCCCTCCCCCACAAAAAAAAAGGAAAAAAAATCACTGCAGCAAACTGCATTCCCCAGAAAGCCCGGGGGCGCGCTCGCGCATGCGTGCCGATCCTCGCGTAGTTCCTGTGCGACCCGCGGCCTGTGACGTCTGAAGAACTGCGCGCTTGCGTTTCCTGTCCTGGAATTTTAGGCGCGTGGGGAAGGAGGTGGCGGGCGTGCTCTCTCTCTCCAAGCATGCGGCCCGGTAAGGCGCGTGTGAGGAAACCCCTTCGGCGCGGTCGAACTGATTTCCGGCGGTCGTGTGGCGACTAACGCGGCCCAGCTGGTGGGGTGGGGTGGGGGGAAACGGACGGAGGGATTCGGGCAGCGGGTTGCTGTGACCATTTGTGACTGGGATTCTCTGCCTGCAGGTTTTACCCCTCGCGGAGGTCGTGGGGACCGTGGAGGACGAGGAGGCTTCCGAGGAGGACGAGGTTTGTTAACTCTTATGAGTTTCTTCTCCTTTTTCTCTCTCCGCATCTCAATATGGGCTTGGAACATTGGGATTTGCTATTCCACCGGCCCCTAGGTCTCGGTTGAGGGGGCGGGGTAGAGGTATGGTCAAACTTAACGAAGTTCTGTTAATGGAAGTTTGCAGTAGAAACTCTGAAATTCTGGTTGTGCTTCTTGTGTGGACTACTTCGCAAACCCAACATCATTCTTGTAAGTCTGAAAGTACCCCCTTCGTTTTACTCTTCTGAAAAGTAGGGGAAGGTCTTTTCTGGGATGCTTTTGCCATTATTCCTCTTTCGGGCTCAAGTTTGGTCCGTCAGACCAATATCTGGGCTGCAGATCTCTCCTGCCTCCCAAAGCCATTCCCACATAACCATTAAAGTAGGGGAGACCAAAGGTACTTGTAGATTTTATTTATTTCTCAAAAGTATATACCCCCCACAACTTACTAACATGACTCCTAGTGGCATACAATAAAGCAAACAAACGAATCTAAAACAACCTCAGAACAGTTAATAATACTGTATATAATAATAATACTGTATATAATCTGTATATAATCAGATCACAAAATGCTGAAATCTCACATTTAGTGCCACCACTTTGTGGATTCCTCATTACCATTTTGGTGAGCTGAAGTCAAAATTATTGTTTACCTGAAAGTTATGCTTAGTTGCATTTTCTGTTAATAGATTGGTCAATATGCAGCTGGTGTACATCTGATGTGTCAACTTTTCCCTCTGAGATTACATGTTGGGCCTTGCTAGTGTGGTATCTGAACCACAACCATGAAAAGATGTTATGATGCCATTACCACATTAACAACTATAATTATGGTAGAAATTTGTGTAACTTAGAGCATGTTTTGTCTGCTCTATATATTGGGATCTAATGTAGGTTTCTAAACTGTTGTCAGCAGTAATGGAGCAATTTGCTGAAGAACGAATATGTTATATAATGACATTGATTACTAGATTATCTTTTTAATTTTGATTATCTGTTGCAAATAGTTGTAACAATATCTGTATACAGATAGTCCTTGCTTAACAATTGTAGTTGGGACCAGCAACTCCATTGCTAAGCAATACAGTTATGTGAAAC